CAATGAAAAACGAGTTTTAATATTAAAGGGAATATAATTTACAGGTTCCAAATAAGCTATTAATACCAGTGTTTATCCTTTGTTTAGTGCGATCATTCATTAACTATCGAGAGAATGTATTTTATTAAAGGTTAGGTATATTTTACATCGATATGCCTCATGAAATCATACTTTTGCAAGGGTATACACTGAACAGATTTTTACCATTTTTTGAATTTAAATAAAAAATATTTTCCTTAACTTGAAAAGTGCTACTGCTTTCTTCAAATCGAAAGCGTGATTTTATAAGTAAACAAAATATTTGGTAAAAGTCAATCATATTTCGACATTGACCTATTTACTTGAAATTTTAACAATTAAAATGCAAATTCTATTCAAAGCAGAAGCACTTTTCAGAAAGTACAAATTATGCAAAAACAATTACCGGGTAATAACTTGATTTTTTATTTCAACTAAGGTATGCCCTTGCGATATTGAAATTTGTTGATGACCTACATTCAGTACACGTACTATATATTTATCGCATGACTCTCCATCTATGGGACCAAACTTCATACAGTACAGAGTGGGTTATACAATGCTATTTCCATAAGTATTTAAGTAGAAAATAAAACAGCTTTATAAATTTCAATTAGTATAGAAAAAAAATTCGTTTTTACACGCCTTTTTTCCGTTGATTTCTCATAGTCGGCCTTAACAGTCCTCCGTGTGTATGCCAGCAAATTCTGTAACACTGTCAAATATAACTTGATCAACTTTGTAATTTTTTTTAGCCTAGTCTTATATACACAATATTTTGAGCGAGATTCGATAAAAGTTTGCCATGTTTGACAACACATCAGAACTATAGGAGCTCTTAAACAAAACACTATATTAAAGATTGTAGACTATATTTACATTCTCCCAAATGGTAATGTGTCTGTTGAGTGCATCCGAGCATGAGCAAAAGTTGAAATTAAATTTTTTTTAATTCGCTGTAATTGTGCCTCTTATTACGTCATTTAATGGTCAGTATGCAAAACATTCGAGATTCCGACCATATATCAGGAGCTATTAAGTCATAAAAGTACAAAGTAACGTCCCAGTATGTGTACATTTTCCTGCTCTCTCAAATAGTATCAAGCTAATTAACTTCCGCGAAATTGTTAATATTTCATTTAACAGTTTTTTGTATTTTTTAAATACCGCCCGTGCTTCCTAACATTTTCTACTTCTTTTTAAAAATTACATTTGTGTATCTTTCTTTTTACATGTAGTCAAATTGCATGTGTCACAGTTATTGATAGAATGCAAGGACGGCTTTTTTGGCATAAACTGCACGGAGAGGTGTGGCTTTTGTAAAACTGGTACAGTTTGTAACAAAACGAATGGTATCTGCCCTGAGGGGTGCCAGGGTAACTGGAATAATTTAAAGTGCACAGGTAAGTTTAATAACAATATAAAAGTACATGAAATTTTCCAAATTTTACCATGAAAATAGAAAGTTGTCTGTTACGTTCGTTGACCAGCCTAAAATGTAAAAAGATGTTAAAAGATTTACTCCTTGTCATTTTTCATGTCCTCTTAAATTTTCAAATTAAATTTGAAATGTTATATAAATTAGTGTTGGTAAATGAAATTGTAAGGATATCATAATGGTATTGTGACGGGAAGGATTTCAAACTCGTCCGAAATAAGAGTTGTCATTTTCAGTTTTCTCTTCTCATTTTAGCACTTAACTTTCTGAGAAAAGTATCAATTCTTATACTTTTTTAAAGAAATCTTTTTGTACGGTTAAAAAGAGGTTCAAACAAACTTTACTGATGACCTTTCTATGTCAAAAAATCACTTACATGGCTCCATGGTCAGGGGTTCTAGTGCCTGGGCGGGGCTATATAGTAGATAAAATGAAAATATTATTTCTTTGAAAATCTTTCTGCTCAAGGATATTAAATAAACTAACTAGTTTATAGTTATGATATGGAAGGATGTCTTTCCTAAATTGTGAATTTTATTGCCTGAAGGTATGGGGTTCTGGTATAGGGTTGGGTCTCTATTGATTATGTAGTGAAAATACATTAATTCTTTAAAAATCTCCTTTTCTCCTATAAGGTACATTGTATTGAATAAACTAAGGAGTTCATAGTTATTATGAGCAAGAATGTATCTTCCTAAAACGTAACCATTCACGGTAGCTCAGTCGGTAGAACGCTCGCTTTGTGATTGGGAGGTCGTGAGTTCGTATCTCGGCCGCGACTGACCTAGTCGTTAAAATTGGTAGCAACTGTTCCTTCGACATGCGCTCGGCACTTTGAAGTGAAAGTTGCGGGTCCTTCGGATATGACCTTAAAAACCGAGGCCCCGTGTCAGCGGCAGGCGTTGGCACGATAACGATCCCTCACTGCTCAATGACCCTCAGTGCCTAGTAAAGGTCAAATTTGAAGCCCTTCACCGGCATATGGTGACGTTTCCATATGAGTGAAAAATTCTCGAGGGGACGTTAAACAATATATAATTAATTAATCAATCCTAAATTGTAAATTTTATGGCCCCGGGGACAGGGGTTCTGGTCGTAGGATGGGCCCTTTTGATTATATACTAGTGAAAATACATTAATTCTTTGAAAATCTTCTCCGCTCCTAAGTATTAAATAAACTAACTAAGTTGATAGTTATTATGATGAAGAATGCCACTGCAGAAACGCGAATGCCTGCAAATTCTGTAACACTGCCAAGTATAACATAACAATGATCAACTTTGTCATTTTCTTTTAGCCTAGTCTTTTTCACACAATATTTTTAGCGAGATTCGATAAAAGCATGCTATGTTTGACAACACCTCAGAACTATAGGAGCTCTTTTAAGACACTATATAAAAGATTGTAGTCTATACTTACATTCTCCGAACTGGAAATGAGTCTGTTGAGTGTATCCGAGCAATGAGCATAGTTGAAATTAAATTTTTGATTCGCTACAATTGTATTTCTTATTACATCATTTAATGATCAGTATGCTAAACATTCGATATTCTGACTTCATTTTCGGAGTAATTACGTCCCAGTATGAGTATATTTTGCTGCTCTTTCAAATGGTATCAAACTTATTATCTTCCACTAATTAAAACTGTTAATACTCTATTAATCAGTTTTCAGTACTTTTTAAATGCCCCTCGTACTTTTATACACTTTCTACCTTTTTTTAAGATTACCTTTGTGTTTCTTTCTTTAACGTGTAGTCTAATTCATGTGTCACATTTATTGATAGAATGCAAGGACGGCTTCTTTGGCATAAACTGCACGGAGAGGTGTGGCTTTTGTAAAACTGGTACAGTTTGTAACAAAACGAATGGTATCTGCCCTGAGGGGTGCCAGGGTAACTGGAATAATTTAAAGTGCACAGGCAAGTTTAATAACAATGTAAAAGTACATTTCATTTTTTCCAAATTTTACTTTGAAAATAGAAAGTTGTCCGTTACATTCGTTGACAAGCCTAAAATTATCAGATCTAAAATACTCATTTTATGTAATTTTTTTTCAGTTCCTCTACACTTTTAAGTTAAATTTGAAATCTTTTATGAATTGGTGTTGGTAAATGAAAATTGTAAAGAAATCGTAGTAGTATTGTGACTAGAAGCATTTCAAACTCGTCCGAAATACGAGTTGTTATTTTCAGTTTTCTCTTCTCATTTTAGCACTTAGCTTCGATAGAAATGCATCAATTCTGATACATGTACTGTTTTTTTCTTAAAAGAAATCTTAATTGTACGGTTAAATAGAGGTTGTAAACGCCACGCTGCCAACAAACGCATTATTAGTTACTTATGATATGACGAGCATGTACACAAATATTGAATTCAACGAACTTCCCTCATCAGTAAATGAGGCTTACACACAGGCCAATAAAACGCAATTACACATTCCATATCCTCACCCTGAGGATCTAAACATCTTACTGAAATGCGTCTTGGAAAACAATCACTTTGAATTTAATAGAAAATATTACAATCAAATAATAGGAGCAAGTATGGGGGCAATCCCCAGTCCAGAGATCTGTGACATCAAAATGTATCAAATCACAAAGCATGTAATGGCACAATTTCGTCATACCAGCAAAATTTTCTTCCACGGCAAATACCGTAATGACGGTTTCATTAAATTGAATGCGATCAAAGATAGAGGATATCTTCAATATTGGCAATCAACGTCACAAGCATCTACGATTTACATTTGAAATTTCTCCATCTGCTGTGAACTTTTTTAATACTACAGTTTACAAGGGACCGAAATTTCAAAATCCTAACTAACTTGATACCAAGTCGATTTCAAACCAACAAATAACGTTCAGTATCTACACAGACAGGGCGCTCATAGCCCAGCTGTGTTTAAAGGATCCATTTAAGGAGAATGCATTAGACCTGCAAGAAATAATACTGACCCTGAAATATGACATGCAACACTCAATGACTTCAAGACACACTTATCAAAGGGAGGCTACTCTACTTCGGAAGTGATCCTACTACCAAAGAAACGATCAAACTAAAATCACAATTCATAATCAAAAGTAATAAATAACAGTCATCACGTAATCCTCCAGCACTGGTGACTTAATTTAACCCTTGCATTAAAGGACTGAAAAAACGAATTTTGCGATATTGGAATACCATTCTTAGAAATCCAGATTGCAAAACTTTATTTAATTCTCAACCGAACATAGCTAATAGTAACCACAGGAATATTGGTGACGAGATTATCCGGTCTCACCTAAAACAAACACCATGATTTATGTCCGTGGCCCATGATTTAGCTGAAACACTCTACAACTACTTGCATTATTCAAATCAAATATTAATCTGCTCTATGCAAAAATCGTATCTACTACAAGTGTGGGTTAGAGTGTCGGTTCCTAATAAATTTCTTACAAGTTTGGTTGATTGATGTCACTAATTTTCATAATAAAACAGGGGATCTTACTGGTAAATTTATCGAAGTACATATTGATGTCTAATGGTTCCTAATTTAACAGAGTGCAGACAAAGATTTTATGGAGCAAACTGTGAATCTCGCTGTAGTAAATGCACCATCGGATCCTTTTGTGATAATAAAACAGGAATATGTCCTGTGGGATGCCAAGATCACTGGAATGGAACAAAATGTGACGGTAATAAATCTTATAGCTAACACATCTTGTCTCTGTTTAATATATCCTGCCATTCAAACATTTTGTTACGACGTAATTCCTTTTAAATTTTCAGTCATTTATTTCAATGACTTATCTCACTCATTCAAACATAATCTTCACTTGTCAATTTATCACTGATATATCTTTATTTAAAAGGAGCCTCCCGGAAATAAAAATTGTTCAATTCTTTTAATTGGATGCACAAAGTTTTCATACTGATAAACACAATATATTTTACACCATTTCTTCAACAAAATATTGACCCCTTAAATTTTTTCGTTGAACCCTAAATCTGGTGATAAAAAGAAGAGTAAATGTTGAACACGTTAACGAACTGTCTGATAAGATGTCATTCTTATACAAAGAATACAAAAATCGATTATGTTGTAAGAGACTTGACACATAGTAATGAATTTTTAAACTGCTAAAATTTACAACAATAATCAAAACTTTATTTGGTTTATGCGTAAACAAAAATGCAATTTTGTGCATATGTACATGATGTAGGATTCTTAATTTCAGAGTGCAAAAATGGATTTCATGGAGCAAACTGTGAATTCAACTGTAGCAAATGTACAAATGGTACTTTCTGTGATAATATAACAGGGATATGTCCAGAGGGATGTCAGGAGCATTGGAATGGTACCAGATGTGACGGTAAAATATCACTTATCAAACCATTATTGTGCCGCAATCCTTTTGTTCCTAAAATATCTTACTTAAAAGTCTGTAATGACCTTGTACAACTGTATCTTCATTAGTACGTATTCCGTCTAAAACTGCACTCCAAAATAATGGTGAACCGAGTAAAACAAAAGTTGAAGTTACATACAAATGTCAACATCTTTCCCTGAAAGTTCTTTTAAACCTCTAAGCTTTCTACGTTTCCTGTTCTGTTCTTGCTACCTTCATCGTCTAATGGTAATAACTGATGCAATAAGTAGATTCTTTGCTTTGCTTGGAATTTTGGAAGAAATAAAAGTTTATTCGGTCTTTTGTATCAAAAAACCCTTCGAAATAAGACTCCGACCTTTATATATATTGTCAAAGATCCTATGTGACAAATAAAAAAAATTTATTAAAATTTTTGTTTCCTTTAAACACAAAAATACATCACTGCTTAAAGAAACTCCTTGATGCGCATTTTATAATACAAAAGAAAATCAACAAAAAAAGTTCATGCATTTTTAATTCTCTTATATCTGTTTTATATCTAGATATTTCATTAGTCTTTAGACGTGTAAAAGCTGCGCAGCACAGTTAAGGTGCGCAATGGAAATATCGGCTAAATTTTGTATTTAAAAATGTATTCGTAATCGGGATGGCGATTATTTTTAGTACATTATTTATATCGGATAATTGTAATTATGATTAATAACTACATATCGAGGACAATTATATTTTATATTTAGACTAGTCACGTGATGCGGCAGTCACGCGATTTTAGCACATTGACTTGAAGTATTGATGTTACATATAAATATCACTAGTGCAAGGGCAAAACCAAGTTAGATTTCCAAGTTTAGTATATAAATATTTTCAACATGTATCGTAGTTTCTAAAAAGTGCTGCGATCCTGTCTAAATTCTGCAATTTCATTGTTAAAATTATACTTGTATGACCGAATGCTATATTTTTTGCTGGTCAGCGGTATGAAATTTTGATATAATTAAATTGTTTTTAAGATTTCATCAGGATCGCAGCACTTTTCAGATACCTTATTAGTTCTATAGTTGAAATGTAAAAGCTTACTTTGATCCATAGAGTGTATGCCCTTGCACTAGATCGATTTATTAAGACCCCCCCCCCCCCCACAATACCCTACCATGTACTTTCATACAAATATACGGCAGTGTCATTTAAATACGTAATGTACAGAAAATATATTAATAAAATTGCGAAGAAGACATTAAATTCAAGTTATTGTCCCATAGAATATCTGTAAATGATATTTTATTTAATTAGAGAATACATATTTTGTTGAGAAAATATTACTTGATCTGTCTCTCACTGCATACAAGCTACGTCACGTTGTAAGAAATGACGTCATATTGACAAGTGTATTGCGATCAGTGCCTTGTTTATAACTTGTTATGTTGGATTTAACTAACTACAAAACAACACGCTGTAGTAAGTTTTTATGTAGTTTGATGATTTCTTACTGGTTAAATTAGCAGATAAACTCATTTTGTGGAATTTTAAAGAAATGTTGTATGACGTATATTGTGTATGATGTCAAAGTCAAGTTTTTCCCGTACAAATTAGGCTCCGCCTCCTTTTTGGAACCTTAACTGTGCTGCGTGTTCAAAACATTAAATTATATCTAAAACAGAGCAAACATTGACATAATTTTACTATATCGCATATTATTAATTCTGAAAAATCTGAATTTCAGTGTGTGAGAATGGATTTTATGGAGCAAACTGTGAATTTAGTTGTAGTAAATGTACAATCGGCACCTTATGTGATAAAATTACAGGGATATGTCCAGAGGGATGTCATGATCACTGGAATGGAACCAGATGTGAAGGTAATATATCTGATAATAGAAACAGTGTGTCACCTTCAAAAGTTGAGTTATGCAACGATTGCTGAAGATACTTAAAATGTTAAAAAATACCAGCCATTTAAACTTTCTAATACCCGTTTCATATCTAAATATATTTTTGTCAGAGACCAGCTTACAGCTTAATATACGAGGGCCGGTCAAACATTACGCGGACTTATTGCTCATAAAAAATATTTGACTACATAATCAGGCAAAATGTCACACATAATATAAAAGAATCTTTACTTATATGGTCTTCAAAATTTCATATCAAAATGTGTAAACTGGTATAAATTTTGAGTGATTTTTCAGGACAAATCATTAAGTCAGGAATCAGCAAAATCTTCGACGTCACAGGCATTATAATAAAAATATGTGATTAAGTTTTCATTTTCTCATCATTTTCCCAAGAGTACCTCTAAAGTTTAAGTTACCTTATCTACCAACATTCAAACACCATTTCTTGTCAAGATTAAAATCTATTAAAAAAAGTAAAGAATATTCTTTTTTTAATGCTTTAAAACCAGGTATTTATGAGATATAGTGTGAAATTAGTGACTCTCAATCACGTTCTTTACAGTCCGGATAAAGTTTCCGTCGATAATGTTCTTCCCGTCCTCCCGTATAGCCTGTTTACAGACGTCTAACTTTCCAAATATTTCAATTTGCTATTTGTGGACGAATGTCACGAATACCCAAGTTTACTACATGTTTTATTATGCATATTTTGGATCCATGTTGGCTATATCTCCAGCATTACGCATTATTTCACAAAAGTGTGGTGCTCCGTCAATTCAGGAGATGTCATTTTCACAGTCGTTTTCACGGGAATCGCATCAGAGAAAAATCACTATATTTCTGGTAATACTTCAAATACCACGTCAGAAATCTAAATACATAATAATAGAATAATTTAAAGATACAGTAAAATTTGTCTAATCCGGACTCTGAGTACTCCGGACTTTTGTCCATTCCGTCCGTAAATTTTAGTCCCATGCACTTCTTTAACAAATTCATTTTAAAAAATCCTGTGTAGTCCGGATTCTGTCTATTCTGTATTCCGAACGGCCATACTGGTCCCAACTGCTCATAATTAACGTTAATTATTCCCTCTAATCCGGCCACACCTGAGTTACTTCAAAGAAATTAACACCTTGCGTGGGGAATGTGATAATCCGTGTTTACATTAGCATGATTATTAGTGCCATGAGACGAACTCGGTGAAATGCGGCGGTGACACAGTCCACTTGAAAAATATAATATATTAAATTACAGTTTAAAAAAGTAACTTTGTTTTAACTCCTTTTACCACATTATAACATAAACACAAAAATATATGTATGCGATTTACAAATCAAAATATAAATCGGGATCGAAAATCGAACGCATTTCAAAATGGCGCCATAACACTGTGGGGGAAGACGCAACTTTTTACATAAAATTAAAAGTTCAATCTGATAATTAGCACATCGTAAATAATTGTGCATTACTGTAAATACATTGAATGAAGTCTTTGACAAGCGAAACCCGGTCAGCTTGATACATAGTAGGCCTATATTATGCGTGCCTGCATGTATATTTTAATTGAGGTAACATTTCACCCGACTTTCAAACTTCGTGAACAAATAAGAAAATACAGTAAGTCATGTGAGACTATTTTATAATTTTTAGACTGCAGAATAGTAATTGATTTTATGATTTAATTTTATTTATAATATGTATATGATGTACTTGTAAATAAACAACGAAAATTTTCGAAATTTATATTTCCCTGCATTTTTCCTGCACTCCGGATTCTGTCTAATCCGGCCAAATTTTATGGAACCGGCGGTAGCCGGATTGGACAAATTATACTGTATATTTGTGAAAACTGTCGAAAAATATCGCGAATTATAGAAAATGAATGAGTTAAGTTTTGGATTCCGCATGCTTTTTCTTCAATTTTTTTTGTGGTGCTCCGTACCTCTCCACCAGCGATATCAACATACTGATAATTTTAGTAGAATTTTTTTTTAAATACAGAAATTTTGCCAAAAATTTATTGGAATATGTAAGATACATATTTCTGTGAAATTTCTTAACTATATGACGTCTGTAACAGTAAATAATAGCACAGTCCGCGTAATTTTTGAACAGCCCTCGTATATAATTATATAAACACAATCGGAAGTTAAAATTTTTACAATGTAATATACACTGTTGTCATATTCAGCATATACATGCAAAAGCAATATCATAGGTTGTAATCTCGTTTTAAATTCACCGTAGTATGTAGAGAGGGATTTTATGGGCAATCATGTGAAGAGAAATGCGGACACTGTAGAAATACAACATTTTGCAACATAACCACAGGAGTGTGTACGGATGGTTGTAAGGATAATTGGGATGGACTGATGTGTAACGGTAATACATTATGGGTATTTATGAATGTGTTGTACGTATTGAATATTAAGTATTAAAAACTGTCAAATGTTAAATTCCTGATATTTGAAAAAAAACGTCTGTTGACTTTCCTATTCGTTCTAATCGTGCATCAGGGACATGGTCATGTACTAACTGACTTCACGGTCAGTCAAAACCTTATTTAAACAGCAACAAAATTTCATAAGAAGTCAAAACTGTACAGTATTAACTGATATATTCAACTTGTATTTGTATCGGGGAACTTTAAAAAAAAAACATCAGAGATGATCCTATTTCAAAAAAAAAAAAAAATTAAAAAGTCAATGTTCTTATAAGGTCAGCAGCTTCTTCCAGTTCACCTCATCTGCAAACTGCATGCGTAAGACTTGTATGGGGGTTAATAATAAAGGAACCATTCTAAAGTCACATATTTCTTTTTTACAGTTTGCTCAAATGGTTATTATGGAAATCACTGTAAGAATAAATGTGGACACTGTCTGAAGGGAACACACTGTAATAAATCATCGGGAGTCTGTCCTAGAGGATGTAAAGAGAACTGGACCGGTTCTAAATGTGATGGTAAAGATTATGAATGATTGATTTTGAAAAGAAATATAAACAATCACATCCAAATATCAAATATTAAAAAGTAATAAGGAACATATGAATGACCTTTTATAAACAGATATGATTTATCAATGAATATTTCCATTTCTAATTTTTTTTCTCTGTAATAACTGTTTGAAAGTTGGGGGAATTTATTTCTTGCTAATTCTGCCGGAATGAAAATTAGGCAGGTCGATAGGTCAGCAGCTAAGAAGGCCTACTACACATGCAAATCTCGTGTCTCTGTGTATGATGCTATGGAGGCCAAATATGCATGTAAATCTTGTGCGGCTGCCTTTGTCTTTGACGTCAGTGTGCGACGACTATTGAAATTGGCATGGAAGTCCTCGTGTAATTTAAATATATCAGTCTACATTTTTAATGCCTAAGTCTACAATTTTATTCCACAATGAAATGGAACTATAAGGAATCATTGTCTATGTATGAGAGTACGCCCGTTATGCAAATTATCCCATGTTTCGCACTATTGTTGATGCCCTGGCATACTCTCAAAACTAGACAGTGATTCCTTAATGTTTGAAGGATATAGGGATAACGAACAGTATTCAGTCTCAAAGTCATGAAAACACTGTCCCCCAAAACATCAGAGGAAGGATCAGGTGCCATGGAGGAGTGAGCATTCCCTGCCTACCGGACAAACACGCCGTGTGCTCCTTGTCATGATCAGGAAATAATGGAAAAAATCCGTCGTCAATTCAGTATATAAATAATGGACTAACAATTTGTATGAAAAACGTCAGTGAGCATTTGACTTAATGATAAATTGTATTTGCTGACAAGGTCATTGCATTGACCATAGAACTTACGAAATGATGACTTTAAACGAGACTGCTGATAGTCTTGTTTCATCGACTTGCTTGTCAATAATTTACCTCGTTTAAGAAATTGTTCATACGTAGAGCATGCTCTTGCGTATCAAATCAACTGAGATATATATACTCCGTATGCAGGTGATGAAGGTATATTGCTGCAAAAGTAAGGAAAGTTGACATTAGAAAAGTTGAAGCAATTACATTTATCATATAGCTTGGTTTTTAGATTACCATTAGTGTCTTTTTCAAGTGTTTTTTTTTATTTATACAAAATTTTATTTACATAAGTGAATGGGGTCGGGCAGCATGCAAAGCCTATTTTATCCCTCTCCCTACAAGGTCAAGATGAACACACAATATATAGGTATGAAAATAAATAAACAAAAAGACAAACATAGTAACAAAGAAACAAAAGAAAAATAATAGATGGAGAAAAAATATCATAACGTAGTACCGGCTAGAAAGTGTTGGCATAAGTAGCATACATGACAGTGTCAAATACAACGTTTGGTTGCTGTGATGAAAGCATGTATTGCTTCAAATATTTGAATATTAATACCTAGTCCAAGATTGGAACTACCATACAAAAGTAAATCAAGTTTATGAGTTTGATCAGAATCAAGTGATATGTCCAAGTATGAAACAGAAGTGTCGGACACTGTGGCATCTTTAATCTTAAGCTCACCAGGATATATCGTATCGATGTAGGAATGGAAATTACCATTGTTAATTGAAAATACGTCGTAGATATATCTAAATGTCGAATTGAAAGCCACAGCAAGTGTTTTCTTCTTTTCACGCATAAGATTTTGCATAAAATCTGCTTCACATGAATATAAAAATAAGTCTGCTAATAATATAGCTCGATTTGTACCCATGGGAATTCCAATAGATTTTTGGAATACCTGGTCTCCAAAAATTTATAGATGTTGTCAATCAAAAACTCAAGCATCTTTTTAATGTCAACTTCAGAGTACTTATGTGTGCAATCAGAGTCTGTTTTAACAAAATAATTTTGAAAATGACCAATGAGGAGGTAAGTAAATTTACGAGTTCCAACAATTTGCTTGATATACAATGTATATCTCATGTTATAGGAAATAACTTAAATAAGCACCACAGTGTATTTACATGTAGGAGGGTAATTCAGAAAATTCAAATTAGGAATTATGATCTATATCTTTTTAAAAATTACTTTTTAGGATAATTTTAAATCTCAATTGATCAGTTATGAGACTCATTTCATTTTTATATAAAAAACAATAAATTAACGTGTTGGATAATTTTAAGTTTTGTAAAGTAGAGAAGATCTATCTATTGGTTTGATATAATTTTGTTTAATCGACTGTGTTACCTCTGTTGTTTGCTCTTCTACTTAATTTTCTATTCTGCTTAGTAATTCAATGTGTTTGGATTTCAGAATGTGAAGATTATAAATACGGACAAAACTGTGCGTATGACTGTGGACATTGTAAAGACGAAACAAAGTGTTCTAAAGTGACCGGTAAATGTAAAGACGGATGTATGACCGGATGGAGTGGATTGTTCTGTTCGAAAGGTTGGTTTTTTTTTAAAGGATTTATTTATTTATTTTATTTTTCATTTTCGCTTGTCCATTTTTGCAGAATTTTGTAAATGTATCAAATGTGCATAAATAATAAAATATTGTTCGATATAAACTCGCATATTTAATGCATGTTAATATTATAAACAAGGCTCTTTAATCCTCGTTTAAGGCTATTGCACCTTCCATAATCGAAAACAGGATTTGAAAAAAAAGGTTTCTAAGACTTTCTAAAAGACACTTGGCGTAAATGAAAAGAAAATGTAAATTTAACGACACATACGTACTAAAACGATTCCTGCAAAGTATTTTTTATCTTATTTCAGAATTGTCCTACACTGAAAAAGGCTCAGGTTAGTTTGAATTAAGAGTCCATAAAATACATCTTTTTTATGTCAGTTAAAGGCAACATAAATGTTCATTGTTTTTTTTTATTATTATCATTTTTATTTATTCTCTACATAAGTGGAAAATAAACATTAACTTCTAATTTTCACTCCTTAATCCCTTTCCTTTTTTTCTTACAGATGATTGGATTTTAAAAGTCTCAACTGCAGTAATATCCGTTATTTCAACGCTTTTTGTTGTTATTCTTATAGTTTTGGCTCGAAATGTATACAGGAAAATTAAAAAGAGAAATGTACATATAGAAAGAGACGCACCAGAAATTATGTCCGGAAAACTTTACGATCAATTAGTTGAAACTAACACCGATCCTACCTATCAAAAGATATCCCCTCAATCAGAAGTTTCTCATTACCAGGAAATGAACGTCTACAAAAATCATGAATTTGTTCAAAACTGACATTTTTTAACTGTTTATATTTGTATTAATATAACTGCAATTTTTAAATTCGAATGTTTTTTTTTATTTCAATGATTCGGACCGTACAATGCAATTTATTTTCAGAAGTTTTCAAAATATTTTCAGTCAGCAAAAGTCTCAGAACTGCATTTAGTATAAACGAAAAAAAAATCAGACAAAGGTACTGCTATTCATTATATGAATATCGTAGAACAGTTTTTAATATTTTTATTGTAAATATTACGTATTTGAAATTCAATATTTTGAATAATATTCTCTATGTTATGTTGAGTGTTATGCGTTGTTAGTACTTGTTGAAAACTGCGAATTGCGTCCTCATCACGTTTTTTGTATCATTTAAACGAAGTACTTCTTATAAATTTGTCAGGTTAGGTATACTGCCTGTATTGAAGGCACTTTTTCATACTTGATGTTTCATCGATGTTCGTAGAATACAATCCCCTAACAATTTTTCGAATCGCAAAGCATGACATTCTACTACGTGTTTAACAAGGACATGTGGTTTTTGTTGGCTTACTGCATTATATTTTCTTCATTATCGGAAACTTTTTTTTTTTAGAAGGCTAAAATTAAAAGATTATATTCAAAAACACTGCACCATTCACGACAAAGAAATTATATATGTTTTAGATGTTTCAAATGTCGTACAAATGCTATAAAATTAAAAAGTAGAAAAGAAACATTTCAAAAATGTTGATCTCAATGTTAATTGCACACCTTGTACCGCTGTTTACAATTACTTGTATATATTGTTACAAGACATATAGTAACCTTAGAACAATAGTTAACACCAATGTATTACAAGTGAAGATTTGAGGCTTAATAAAAAAAAAATCTTTGATAACGAAAGTTTATGCATCATTTTCAATATTTCTTTCATAAATATTTATCAGAAAAATTGAAAATGAGTTGCCGGGAGAAAATATATTTTTTTTTAAAGAACTTCGTCCGTTTTGATAGTTGTAGTACCTCACAATGTATTGTGTCTCATCACTCGACAATGGGTGAGTAATCAGACAGCTAGCTTAACATGCTAATTTATGCTGCTGTCAGAAATACAAGTACCTTTTATGAGGTAACTCTTTGTAATTTACTTGATCCATCCCCACTTAGAGTTTAACATGATTAATAGTTTTAAAAGCTGAAAATAAAATTATATATGTAACCAATTCATATGATTACATTGCGGGCATTTACAAACTTTCGTTAAAACAAATCAGAATACGCAAAATAGACAACAGCATACATCAGAATCAGCTAAGAAGGCACAGGATAGACTATACTATGCATAATTAGCGTTTACCTTCTAAAATGGGCATTGACCTAGATCAGAAAAAAAATCTCTTATTTGGAGTTTTTTTAATCATCAAAAGCAAAACATATGGAAAACTGATATCGTTATATTAAATATTACTATATATTATATTCAAATTTTAATGATAGAAGGATTTTGGATTGTCTACATCAAGTAGCATAGTCATTTCTATTAGCAATGACATTGTGTTGAAATAGCAAAGTTGGCATCCGGATAAAAAAGAACTACCATCAAATCAGCAAAGAAAGCATTCAAATTATTAAAGAAATGGGTTTGAAAATTTTCTATCTAAGATTAACAAAGTTTATTTACTGTACATGATGCTTTGACAAAGAGGTCGATATTACGACATCAATGTAGCGTCAAATAATTTTATATTATCAATGGGGAGAAATCAGAATATATAATTTTCTAAATTTTCAAAATTGTCTTTATATTTTATAAAAAAAAAATGCAAGTGACAAATTTTGTGTATATACAATAAAATATGCAGGTATGTATCAACTGCATTAAACGTATGTGAAACGTTTGTGACTGCACATGGTATCACATGATAAAAAAGTAAAGTTTTCACACATATAAATACCATGTGTGATATATACATTAAACGTATTTATTAACAACCATGCGTTACATGTACACATACTTGTGAAACTAAGCTGTATGTATTGTAATGAGCGTCAACGTTACCCAAAAATACCCAGCAATTGACATCCCAATATTTTATAAACGTTTTTAGCTTCTATCAGACTAGAATTGAAGTATAACCAAGGTACTTGATAATCAGTCAGAAAAAAGAATAAAGATGATGCTGAAGAACTTAATGTTACAGCGTTTCCGTCTGCGGGGCTTTTAAGAAAGTTGATATTGAGCAAGTAATATCTAACTGCATTGTTTTTTTTTTTTCTTTTTTTTTCTTTTCTTTTCTTTTTTTTTTTTTTTTTTTATTTACACCGGTATTACAAGAAAAACAAGGGACTGGGCAGATCGATGGACTAGATGAACAACAAAATGCACGGAGGGATGACCCGTCTTTTTTTTTCCTCAAAAAGTTTGGGAGTTACAAATTGTTACAAATTAACAGCTTAAAATCTTCAACTTTATACACAGCCATTCAACACGATAAATTAATGGCCACGCTTTTTGATATCATTGACAGCTGCTTTTTCAATAAAAATGGAACATGTCAATTTACTTACCTGGTCATTGGTCACTTGCAAATTATTTTGACAAAACACATTCTGATTGAACACACAAGTACTCTAAAGATGACAGCAAAAAACTGTTTGAGTTTCTGATTGACAATATCTATGTGCTTTTTGGAGACCAGGTATTCCAACAATTTATTGGTATTCCAATGGGTACCAATTGCCCCCGTTAATTAATTAACATATTAAAATATTTAAAAAAAAAAATAGAACGTCCCTTTTTGGCCATAATTTTTGACCATTTATTGAAGTGAAAAATCCAAACCCTACTGCACCTTTTTTTGGAGATGAACGACTAATTGAATGATATGGCTACATTGTTAAAATTATGAGATCACTTGAAATCATGATTTGTAAATCAAAAGGTGTGTCTTTTTTCAAAACCTCAATTTGGTTGAAAATAATAAAAAAAACAACTACAAGACTTATCCCCTAATCATCTTGAAAGAAGCGAACATTTCGAAAACTCATTGCACATTTACAGGATATCTCAAAACATCATGAACATTTGTTATGTGCACTAAATTTTTTTTGCAGAAACATATAAAGAGCAAGAACCACTTTGGGCTTTATTTGGCCCTGGTAATTTCTGAAAAATCAAAACCGCCCAGTTCAGGTTGCAAATGCAGTATTTATCTCCTTGGGTGTTGGTGACAACGTATCTATTAATCATGACGTAACTTCCCAAGTAGTTCATGCATTATGACGCCATAAAATGCATCATTTTCCTCATATCCTGTAACTTCCTTTGAAAATGACCTAAATTTAAAGCATTTTTTTTTCAATATTTCATATAGAGCACAGCCTCTGATCAAAAATATGCAAATATATAATGAAAGCTCTGTTTCTGAAGATCGAAAAACATTTTTTTTTTTTTTGGATCATGGGCTGTTCTCATATTTTAATTCTTTGTTGAAGGTAGTCAAATACACATGATTTTTCTGCAAATTTCAAGAACATTACTATTTTTCAAACCTGTTTTTCAATATCTGGATTCTCAAAACGAATTTTTATTATAGAAACTAAAAGCACCAAGTGCCTACCTTATTACGATATATGAAATGAGAAAGAGGGTGATAGTTAATTATTTGATTTAAATACAGGGCTTTTTTATGCATAAGATGACCCTTGCTCTTTGGCCACCCTTGTTAAAGAACAAGTTTATCTTTTAAAAAGATAGGTGAGCTAGCGCCATAGCAATTTTTAAACACAGAAAGGAAGATCTGTGATCAAGTGATTTATTTTGCTGAATTCTTTAATTTTTATCGAGGCTGGAGATTGATAAAGTTATTATCCATTTTATAGACACATTGGTAAAGAAAAAAAGGGGGTGGGTGACTTATTGGAGTTTTGGCGCAACGGAACATATATGACCTTTACCGGAGAGGGGGGACGGGCTCTTTATAATATGAAGAAGATTCCGATTTAGACATTGCATGTATGGGCTGATTTAAAGAAGAGAATTTCTTGGCAATTTAGCAAAGAAAATACATGGGAGTTGAAAGGAATATAGAAAATAACCCCAAGTGTATGTTGTCCAAACAGTCCAGAAAGTTTGGAACGCATTGGAAGTAGCTTAATTGGTCCTTTGGGTCATCTTTATCAAGATATGTTAGGTTAAAAGCCATACACATCAGAATTTTTTAAATACAAATAGTGAATTTATTCGTTATTTTTTATGGTAAATTCTTGCTTCTGTTTCTGGAATTTGTAAGATTGGCTAAATTGACCAATCAAAAATTAGAATCTATCTTTGGTTGCGCTTAAATTTAAACAAAAATCCCTTGTCATTGTTTAGAGCAATCAGATAACGACTCGGGCTTTTCCGTCAGCAAAAAAATCCCCAGAATTTGAAATAATGTCAATATGAAGTTATCTTTAAAGTGCTACACAATAAATAAACAGTTATTTCATGCTACAACATGATACAACGAAATTGTTATCGTACGGTCTATCTGTAGTAGTTTTCGCAGTTTTCCAAGAATGCACGGCCATGGCGGCAGAGCATGCGTAATCAAGGAATTTGGACTAACGTAGTTGCTAGCACTCTAGAGCGCTAGCAAAAAAACCTAATATATATATTCAGGACACAAATTTTCATATTTCAAAAGATTAACTGAATATTATTTTTCATCCAACATATTGATATATTGAGGATATAAATTTGGGTCTGCCTGTCTTTCCGTCAGTCAGCCTGACCGTGCATAGTATTATGCGCGACGTCATAATAATAGCATACACTGTTAAAACGAAACAAGTTGAAAAATAAGGAACCTTTTTTAATGTGCATAATACGAATAATGAAAGACTGCTAGCTCACTATAGGCAGCGTTTCACAACCCATGCACAATACAGGGCAAAGTGTGGTTGATCAATCCGGAAGCATATTGTTTTATTGCCGTATAAAGAAGGGACTATTTCTTCCGCTGCGGCAACGGCATTTACAATTATTATTA